CCCCAAAACCCCAAAACCCCAAAACCCCAAAACCCCAAAACCCCATTCCTAAAGCCACTAATTGAATATTTACGAATTAGTTAATTAATCAAAAAGCTTTTGTTACTTATTCATTGACTTCTTAAATCTCATGTAGGAAGAAGATGAAGACTTCTTACTTGATGAACTTGATGGCTTAGGGTAAGAGTCCAATAACTTCTCAGTAATCTGATTCACTCTGCTTTGCGCTAACTGTATCTGCTCTTCTAAGTCAGATTTTACCTGCTTTATATGCAATGCATTACGAACGTTTTGAGGATCATAGTCATTAGATTCTTCTCTAGTCGATCTCGTAGAGGGGGTATGTTCACCTTCAATTTGGATTAGAGTTCCCTTCAAGTCAATTTTCTCTTGCTCTACATTCTCAATCCTCGCTCTAAGTTCATTGTTCTCAGAGACAAGGAGGGAGTGGCTATATCTTTTACTTGAGGATGATCCGTCACTATCGCTCACATCTCCGTTCTCTCCCATTTCTGATGTGATTGACTCACCAATAAAGACTTTTTCCAAATTAGCTAGCTTTGAGTACAACCCATTATTTTCATACATCATTGTTTCAAATTCTCTGTTCATCAGTTCTCTTTGGTATCTCATTTGCGCATTCTCTTGTCTGAGTAGAGCGAGTTCTCCATCAAGTTCTTGTATATCTTCTTTTCCTTTAGTTTCTGCTTCGAAATCTCGAGACATCATTGCGAACCCACTTTTCCCATTTTTAAGCATCTTAGATGGCTTATCTGACATCATTGATTTTGAGTCAAAGGATTGAGAGATTTGACCCCTGTCTTTACCTCTATGAATAGAAGGGAGCATGCCTCCCTCCATGGTAGGGAGGCTTCCTCCCACTAAATGATTTAGCTCGGAGACATCAGGGACTTCAATATGACTCTCACCAGTGAGCTTTCATAGTTCCTGCTTCAAGAAATTATTTTGCAACCGGAGCAGTTGCACTTCTCTTTTTAAATTGAATTTTACTTGCTCTTTCGCATCCATTCTGATAACAGGCTTGTTCTTAATATTCATTGTTCGAGTAGCGTAGTTCAGAGTGCTTTGGGTTTCATCAGTGTATACTTCTGATGGAGAAATACAGGCAATCATGAGTGCTTTAGAAGACCCACCTAGAGAATCCATCAACAGCATTGTGAGTTTCGAATCTCTGTAAGGAATGTGAGCGTTTGAGTACCCCTTTCTGTCTGATAAGCATGATATAACTTTGCCAAGAATGAACAATGATTTATTAATGTTTCCAGTTTCTTTGAGCATCTCTCCTTTAGACTCAGTTTCCTTGAGCCTCTCTGATCCTGCAAGATCAACAAATGAGATTTTCCCATACTTCTTATAAATATCATGATCATTTTTAGTTTCAGAGATGAGATAAACTGTCAGGATGGAGTGAGATCTTGAAGAGTCTGGATTCAAATTATGGTACCCTGTTTTTCTATTTTTAATTCCTTCATGCAGAACAGCTAGCAGGTCGTACTTAGTGGTGCATTCCACTACTACGAGGTCTTCTACAAAGAAACCGTTTTGGGCATTCCATCTACAATGAAGAATTCCACTTGATGGGTTGAGTAAATCTTGTATTTGTTCTTTATAGATTTCTGCAAATGAAGCTTTTACATAAAACTGCTCATTCCTGTTTGTCATTTGCTGCCACATGTAATTAACTCATCTAGGAATAATACCTTCTCCTTCATGACTCTTCCATTCTTCGACTCCGAGACGCTTTTCATCACCAGCCATTGTGTAAGTTTTGCCGCTACCGGTCTGCCCATAAGCGAATATAGTGGCACTATAACCATCCATGGCAGAGTCTATGAGGCCACCTATATTACAATTTTCAAAAACTTGATCCTGAGTGGTCTCTCAAGGAAGGACAGCATTGAAACGATAAGCTCGAGTGTTGGAGTCAGCAGATTTGAAATATATTTTCTTCATGTTTTCAGTCTCAATGTTATTATTTATGTCCCTTCTCGTGCTTCATCAGTGGTCTGATCCTAACTGCTACCTTGACTCTTTCTCCACTCATTCCACCATCACTACTCCTGACACTGGAAGTTTCGGAACCAGGCGAATAAGCAACTTCTGAACGCTGGGGAATACTATTCTGGCCTAAATTATTACCCATCTGAAAGTACCTTGCGACTTGTAAGCAAAAGGTTTCTTTGAAGCTTTGGATTTCTTGTCCATTTCTTTCACAAATATTATTTATTTTCTCAATAATTAATAAGAATTAGGGGTTTTGGGGTTTTGGGGTTTTGGGGTTTTGGGGTTTTGG